GCATGTCTTCAGAGGGAGGACTCCATTGACAGTGTCTCTCTGCTTTTTTCATTTGTCTTAATTTCTACACTTTAAGTGTTTTTAAGCTATTTTTTATTTCAGAAGCATTAAACCTGTTTTCTTTTTAACATGCAATTCTAAGAATAAGGGAAACGCAGTGTTCTCTTCCCCCTTGCTAGAGAATTATTTTACATGTGCCTTAACCCTGCATGTTCAGCAGGTCTTCCCCTCCGTCTCCGAATCTCCTACCTCTTCCCTTGTTCAAGGTCCTGCCCACCTGAAAATCTAGGTATGTTCAAAATGCAACTTTTCTGTAATTACTGATCCTGATTTTTTAAAAAAAAAAAACCATTTGATCATTCTGTTTAACTTACACTTGCAGCTGAGTCGTGTTCACTTCAGCTTACCTCTCAGAGCTGAGAGGTTCTCTTCCATCTTCTCTTGGTTTTCCAGGTTTTCGTGCCTTGCTGTCCCTTCCCGATTGTCTGAGACAAGCTAGGAAGGCAAATAATGCTCCTGGGCTCTGGGCCTGTGCTCGCCTCTGCTCGCTTTGCAGTAGTCTGAAAGTCTGGCTCCGTGTGTCCGGTTCCTGCACCCGGGTTAAGGGGAGACCACCTCAGCGGGGTTCACTGGTCTCTTGGCATGATTTGGGCACAAGCAGCTGGCTCCTTTGCCCTCACACCACTCCTGTCTAGCTTGTCCGCATGCTGGTTCTGGCCTTCATGGGGGTGGGAGGTCAAACACCCGTAAACTGGAAGGCGGCTGCAGCTGGGGAAGAGCCCTCCTGCCATTCCTCTGCTCCTTGTACCTTTGCTTGGGGACTGTACTTAAGGATTTGCTCAGGGGTCTGGAAGACACCTCTGTAACTTCTGTACAATTGAACTGCAGTCTCTCCTCCCCTTCTCTTTGAGGTGACAGATGCCAGGTTCTCCTTGTGAATTTGAAGTATGGGCCAACCCAATTACTGAAATCCAGGTCACGGTTACTTTCTGGGAGATAGGGTGGTAACTAGATATGCACTAGCACACTCTGCATGACACTGGCTTTCCCATCTGTTTCCCTCGCATTTTACAGAGCATGCAGGAGCTGGATCGCTGCTTGGAAGAGGCTGGAGAAATGTATGTGCTATCCACAACTGCCAGTGTCCCCACTGGCGCCTCTAGCGCAGGCAGCCTTGCTGCTCTCTGCCTTCCAGTGTCTGATAACGCTTTCCCACTCTTCCCTTCACCGAGCTGCCATAAAAACATCCTCCAGCCACAGAGGGGCAGAGAGAAAGGGGCAGCAGCTACACAGCCGAGAGGAGCTGTGCCGTCTCCTGATGGTGTGAAGCGCTCACTCCCTTTTCCCTTTCTGTGGATGTACAGCACTAACAGAGACTGAGGTGAGTGGCTGGAAGTGATCTAGCGCTGAGATTGCACAGCCTAAGCTCCATTATTTCACCACCTCCATTTAAAAAGTGGGTTGCGATCGTAAGAGTATTTAAATGCACTTCAGGTTACTTTTTAGCCTCCGCGTTTTCATTAATTATGTTAGGCAGTCTGACTCATGCAAGTACTGAGCTGTAACGAAGCTGCATGTTGTGCAGAGCTGTAGGGGTCATTGGTGTTTTCATTAAAACATAACGCTTTCTGTCCCAGAGGGGATGGTTTGAACTTACAGAATAGGGATGTGCAACTTTAAATTTAGTCTCTCCTCTGCAGGTGTAGAGGAGGTGGGTGATGGCAGGGGTTGTTCTCATCAAATTAGGTAGCTTCTTGGGTAGGATCTGGGGAAAATCAGGCCATTTACAGAACTGTTTTGTGCTCATAAGAAATCGCTGCCTCCCGCAATTTATCCCAGTAGTTTTGTTTGCAGAAGATGTTGCATGACAGAAACATGAATTCTTTCCTGGTCTAAAAGGATTGAAGTCTTTTGGTTCGTGTTCAAAATTGAAAAGTATCTCCAGATCGATGTAGGAACCTCCAGCCCATGGCTGTATCCAAACACTCTGATCTGTCACATCTCCTGCAATGAATAGTCTGGAGGTGGGAGTGGAAAGGACAAGACTCACGGCAGGTCTCGCATCTTGGAAACAGCCTTTAATCCTCCCAACTAAAATTCATGTTTTAAACAGGATTTACATGTTGACAGCAGCGGTAGGATTAGAGCTATGGCAAGAAGAGCCATGTTGGTAGTACAACAAAGACTCCAGCCTGTATGATTTTGAGGGAGCTGAATTTTCTGTTAAACGTTTTAAAAAAAAAAAAAAAAAAAAGTGCACTAGTGTAGGTACTGCACCTTGTTTACGCAGTGTTACTTTTCTGGGACCAAAAGTCTACAGGATGAATTATTGGAATATATTTGAATATATAAATGCTGGGCTAAAGCCAGAAATGCTATGTCCCTTGTTCAAACACCCCTTTCCCAAAAGGCCAATCTGCCACATCCCTGCATACCATACACGCAGGCTGATTTGACTCTCAAACAGAGATGGCACATGATGTTTTTCAGTGTTCCATTCCTCCCCACAAAAATGTACAACAGAAAATGCCAGAAACCTTATATTACTAATCAAGAACAGCTTTTCTTAATCACAAATTTTAATAGCTGTTCTGTGTAGAACTATAACTAGTAATCCAATCACTCGTGCACTCTCCTCCACTTAATTAAATTTCCTGTAACAGCCTAGCGATAGCAATCACTTTCCTGATTGTAGCAATTGTAAAGCCCCACTCCTGTTCACCCAGTCGTGAAAGAGGACTGGATGCACTGATTCTGTACCTAAATCAAAATCGAGCAGCAGCGGATTGGAATTGCAGCAATACAGTAGAAAAATCAGACCCATTAGAGATTTGTTGTTGTTGTTGTTGTTTTTTAAATTTTAAATCACTGGGAATCGGTTGATGTGCTTTTTCAATGAGGAAAGTGAGGGGAAAAAAACCCCGTCCACCTGCGCATTCATGCTATAAGCACATGCATGCCGAAGAACCTGAGCCAGAGAACTGTGGCCACAGCAGTTTGTGTATGGATGTGTCCTCAGGCTATCTCTGTTCCACGCGCAACGCTTAAGGCATGAAGCGATTTGGTGTGCCTGGCCACGTCTAGTTTTCTTATCCACTGGTGTTAGGCAGCAGAGGAAAGGCAACTTGGGGTACAGCTGTGTCCATCAGCACGCTGGCTCTTATCCTCCTTGCTCCTTTATAGTGGGTCCAGGACTTACTTCCTTTTTGGTTTGGTCAGGTCTGGAACAGAAATGCTATTTCTATGATTTTTTTGTCACCGATCCTGTCCTTCCCTCTTATTCCTAACAGCAACACTCGGAAAGCTCTGTCAGGGCTTCCTTGCCCTCCAGTTGCTCATCCTTGCAAACCTGGCACCGCCACCTGCAGAGTTCAGGGTGTATCCAGATCTCCTTTGCCCTTGGCATCAGCACTGCAGGGAGTCATCGCCGGGGCTGTGCCATGCTTTCATACCTACTCTTGGGTGTTTAGCAACAATCCCCCAACGCTCTCAGCAGCAGACCATCCTGTTCAGAAGACAGGGCCTACCACCACCCACCCCCTCCTTGGTGCTGTCACGCTTCAGTCCACAAATTAGCTTTTGCCAGCTAGTCAGGGCTGACTTCCCCCTCGTCACATTCATTCCCTCATTAATTCACTTACAGGAGCAACCTTTTTAAAAGAGATTTTCTAATTTCAGAGGGTGTGAGAGACCAAATTCTGGTAAGGATTTCTTGAAAGATGCTGATAAACTGTTCCTCTGCTGATGCCAGAGTGTAAAATCAAACAATCTAACCTACCTTACGGTCAAAGACAAACAAGCATTTGACTGAAAAAACAGGGCCGTGGTCCTGAGTGGGAAGGATGAGCAGCACAGACACTGGAGTGCTGCTTTTCAGCCATGTCAAATTATGCATCGTATCCTGTAAACAGGTATCCAAAGCTGTAACTCACGATTTTCACTCCTTTGATGCTTATATTCTTCATGCACAATGTATATTCTTTGCAGTGGATTGGCAAGATTGTGGGCTATAATAAAACAATAGAAAACTCTTTCCTTTTTTGATTGCCTCCTAACGCGTTTTATTAAGCGGGGAACTTTTTTGTTAATTTGTAAGTGATGGCTTGCAAACAAATATTTTCACAGATCTGGAAATGACAAATCCTTGATGAAGCTTCCCTGGGGGTAATTCTTCCCTGCCATCAAATCAACAGCCTGGTCTGTCTCCAAGATGAAGAGGGGAAGAAATCTGCTACTCCAAGTCCCTTGGACGTGAAAAGCCAGAAGCAGAAGCATACCAGGTAGGAGCATATTTTTCTGTCAAGCATTTCAGTATGTGGCCTTTAGTAATTACTGCCTATCTTCTACACTGCTCACTGTTCCTTTATCGTATTCCTTCTGGCAGTGACTTCCATACTCCTGCTATCAGCTATTTTCTTCTTGCTGCTGCTGAAAACAGGTACTTGCGTCGCCTTCGGCTTATGCTTTGTGTTTGTGATCGACCATATTATTAGTGGAACTGAAAGACACCGCTGGGTTGCTTGTACACTTTCAATCTGAGGCTAATGTCTCTATGATAATGGTTTGCAGAGAGGTATTTTGATCCAACTTTCATCGATCAACTTTTATCTCCAAGAGGAATTTTAGACAACTATCTGTTTGCAAAACAATATTTTATTAATAAAAAGACTTATAAACAGTAAGAAAGAAACCCCAATTTTACACTGAATGAAAAATCCAAAATAAACTCCCAGAAACGTGCCTCAGTTCTTTACTCTCTGTACAAGAAATTCCATCGGGTAGTAATCCTACGTACACATTTATCTAAAGATAGCCGAAAGTACAAAAAAGCATCATGCATGCTTCTATGCTGAGTAGCTACACAGCCGGACAGACTTAACAATACACACAAAAAATCTGTACATCTGTGATTAAAAAAGCCATGCTTCGTGTAGCACCAAGGGGAGAATTACGTGGATTAAAAAAAATTCACTGACAACTGCAAGCCCTGCGGTCCTGAATTAGGGACATGACTGACCAATTTCTGCTTGCAGTTTCATCTCTTCTTTTCTCAAGGGAAAATTGTCAATAAGTGCAAAGAGCTCGGCTGGCGTTGCTGGGAAAGGATAGCGTTCCTTGTCCATTCCGTGCTTGTCCATCACCACGATGTTGAAATTGTAATGGGGGATCCTCAGCAGCAGCCTGCAAAATAAGGACCTTGTTTTGTTAAAGCCCGTCATCTACTGCCTGGGCACTTCAAACTAATAAATGGCAGAGCCAGCCTCTTGGGTCTAAGCAGAGGAAGGCGGGGACGGGCAGAGGGTCCGCTTTGTTTCAGCTGTAAGAACAAGGAGTCAGATAGAGAGCGGGTGTCTGCATGTGCTGCAGGCTGCACCTTTGCATTAGGGAAGGGTCAAGATAACTGCACTCAGCTCTGTTTTCTTCTTGGACCCTTAGTATAGCACATGCCATTACCTATTGCTATCACAAGAGAAAAAAAAGGTAAGACAAAAAAAGTACTATATACATTGCCTAAAGAAAACCATTGCGATGGAGCTAGAGTTACAAGTAGACTATTCCCTTTCTCGGCTGCCACATGGTATAACACCACAATGAGAAAAAGCAGGACAAAATTATTGGAGTCGGTTTTCATGGCTTCATAATAATAACCATCCACCTGGTGGTAACTCCAATTTAGGAGAACAAAAGCCGCTGCTAATCATGGTGGAGTCCTTTCCTTCCAAAAGGGGTCTTTTGAGCTCCTCTGGAGGTGCGACAGTAACAGAAGTATATCCTTGGTGCTCTTTTAATCTTTTGCTTGAAGGAGTAGTGAACTAGAAGATCCTTAGACATGCAGTCAGTCAACATCATTGGTGTGGGGAAAATAAATTCAGGCAGCCGTGACAGAATGGTGTCAGGACAGGAAGGCTGCCATGAAGAAGAGGGTCTGGGGGGGATGTTGGTAAGGGGCGAAGCATAGCAAAATTGACCTTCCTCAGCCTTCTCCCAAGTTTGCGTGCTCTAGGCATCTTCTTGTTGCAATTAGGGAGCTTGGCTATTAAATTCAAGCTAAAATAACGTTTGAAACTAAGCTACGGTGATAGGAAACTACATTCCTCTTGTCCCTCATCTCACCTAAGAAAAATGCTTACCTTCTACAAATCCAAACGCTAACCTTCTGAGGTTTCCAAAGTTTTAACTAGGCTACCTGTGCTCATGAGTTTACTGAATGCCAATTCTGGACCGTATCTTTATTCAGGATGTTTAAGGGTGCGTTTCATTTTGATTTAAGTGCCTTCCAGAACTGGAATGCTATAATTCACACACTGCAGTAACACCAGAGGAAAAAAAATCAAATGGAAAACTAACTTTCACTGAGTGCGGGGCAGGTCATACCATACCAATTTCCGAAATGTAAAGGTTGCGGGGGAGGAAGGGAGGGGCAGGAAACAAGGTGTTACCAGAGCTTATTATTTTCTACCGAGCCACAAGAAAACCATTTCAACTTTAGTAAAAGTACTTTTACTTTTTTGAATAACAGAGAAGCTCTTTGTCCTCTCTTTTTCCTTTTACAGAGAACAAATGTTTTTATTTTTTGCAATCCAAAAAAACCTCTCTGACTTGTCAGCATTTTTTATTGTCCGCAATTAAAACTTGCTCCATTTCCTCAGGCATATCACAGAAGATGTTGCCTAAAATGCTCCTGGACTTTTTGCCTAAATAACTACTACTTTCCCTGCCAATGAGGCCTTCATTTTTGGCTCTTGTAGTCCTCCTGTACCTAGGAAATGCTGGCACTTGAAGTCTCCTTTTCAAGTGAAAACCAGCCCCCTGCCAGTCTAAAACCAAGTCAAAACAGTTCAGGCACCTCAGTAAAACTGCTGAATGTTGTAGTCAGGCTGGGGAGGCGGATAATTTCCCCTTTGAAATGCTGCCCATATAATTTCTACACGTGGGACTTCCAAAGAGCAACCTCTGCTTCCTCTTCTGGCCTGGCCACAGTCACCAGCAGCGCTGCAGAGAAGATGAGCTGTCGCTGCCATTTGGGGCTGCACTGGCAGCTGCTCCAAGGCTGTCCTTGCAAAGCGATTGCAGCCTGTCATGACTGCATCAGACCAACTCCAGCACAAATACAGACACACTTGAAGCGTTTTCAGTGGCAGCACCCAAAAATATAGACCTATAACATGATCAAAGGGAGTTCACATGAATTCAGAAATTCACTCAGTTTGAGCAAAGGGGCAAGGAAGACGTGACACTTGAAAGAGTCACAGCCCATTTAAATGCGAAACAAGCTGAAGTCTATGCTCTTAATTTCATAAATACCAACCACCCATGAATTTGCAGTAGCTATTACACAGATAGAGAGCAAATTAATCCTAGAACTTACTCATCAACATTTACCTTCCAGTGTCTAGCTATGTACTTTACAGTAGAATATGTATATTTAAAGAGTAAGATGCAGGGAATCAAAAGCAATACATCTTATATGCTAAGGTGCAAACACAACCGCAGTGAGAGCTTACTTTACCTGAGTTGCAGGGCAAGTGATGGGGCCAGCAGCTTTACACCTATTCTTCCTATCTGTGCTGGGAAGACACCAACCAATTCAACTACGGTAACGTGTCGGAGGTCTAAACCACACTGTGCCGGCTGGAAGGGTTAAAAGAAGAAAGAGGTGTGTCAGTTGTCAGTAGAGAACAGAGGTTTGTTTTGAGCATGGAGCAAAGTGTTCGTAAAGAGTCTAATCTTCTTATGTTAGTGAGATGGTTTAAACTGAAATGAGAGCATACTTTGAAAAGTCTCTAATTCTCACTGTGAAGAACTAGAGCCTCATGACTCCAGGGGACGTCAAATGATGGATTCTTAACTACTCTAAGAAAAACAACACACAGGGATCACCTAGGAGGACTATAAACTTGTCTTTGTAATCACATGAAAAGATGCCAGAGTATTAAGCATTGTGCCAGTAACCTAATTTGGCAATCAAAGCAAGGTATGTGAAATGGAAGTTGACTGCAGAAAGTTTTCTTTCATGCCAACTTGTTTGACAACTGTCAAGCAGAGGGAAAAGTACTACAGCCATTAATTATTGTATTTTAAACTATTTCATTTTGATCAATATATTGAATTTTCTTGCCAAGTTAATCTAATGGGGGAAAAGAAAAACTTTTTTTTTTTTAATACAACTGTAACTTAAGCCAGCAGTTAAAAACATCATCATGTTCATATTCTAATGACTATTTATACTGAATTTTGCTACAGTTGTAAGAAAAGAAACAAGATAGAAGCACTTGCCGCTGTGAAAGAATACAGGACTGGCTCCTTTCCCTGAGGACACAGATACATTTCTGAGATACATCCCTAAGTCTAGCAAGAACCCAACAAGAGCATCACATTTACAACACATAAGAAGGACAATTACCAGAAGTTTTCTTTTTTTTGGAACAAAATACCCCAGTGCTATCTCCAGCACTCTGGATGATTTCTATGCTGAGTCTCCGGTCCTTTGTCTGCTGGTGCACTGGCTATTCCTGAAGCTATTCACGCTTCCTTGCATTGTAGTTACAAAGTCGGTAAGCCTGGTTTGCATGAACTGCAACCACTGAGGTGCTGGATGGTTTGGGTTCTTTTCAACTTCTTTAGGAGCTGAGTTAGGGAATGATTATTGAGCACAAGTTAATATTAAATTAATTTGGGGAGGATGGAAGAGGGCCAGAACTGCCTGGGATTCAGCGACTGGTCAGTCAGAGGCAGCACAATCCAGAACGGAGCTGAATTAGAGACTGGGGAGATGTTTCAACTCAAACCCGTGTAAAAAGGATTAATCCAGAACAACTACTGCTTCAGCCAGATCCTCCAGTGGCTGCAATATAACAGCTGAAGTTTGTGGATTTGCATAAAACAGTGGAGCTCGTCCTCTTGTGTCAGTTTTGCATAATGCATAAAACAGTGGAGCTCGTCCTCTTGTGTCTTTCTTCAAAAAAAAAAGGATTAATCCAGAACAACTACTGCTTCAGCCAGATTCCAGTGGCTTGTTTAAAAAAAAAAAAAAAAAAAAAAGTTGCACCCCCCCCCCAAAATGTGTTTTACCTGCAGCATTCCCAACTGCATCCTGTAGAAGAAGTTGGCTGCAGTAGGAGTTGAAATAATTAGCAGTCTCCGCTTCTCATAAAATTGATCCAGAAGTGCAGCTGCAGTCCTCACATTCACATTAATATTCATGGCTAGAATTAAATTTAAAACAAAAGTTACAGAGCATACTGAAAACAGATCTATTTCTAAAAGCACAAACCATTAGATAGCAGAAGCACAAGAAATAATAATAAAGAAGATATGGGTGAAATACTGGCCTCATTGAAGCCAACAGTTTTATCTTAAGCTGTTCTGGCTTGCAAGATGGAATGACTACAGAATGTGAAGTTTTGTAGAGAGCTTTGAGCTAAAACACACTATCAGTTGTGAGGTACCATCATCATCCTAGGAAGGAGCAGCCAAAGGTGGCAAAGGGCTTCAGCTGTAAGTGCGAATTAGCAGAGGAGACAAACATTTTAAGTTTCTTACCTCTAGGGCATTAAAGTTTGCAGCTGTATTCCACCCCACACCCCCTTCCCAAATTCTCACTGCCACGAGAACCATTGCTCTGGCAGCCCTTCTGGTAAAGTGGTGAAGTACTCACTTACGTGCACAGGTTGGCTCCACTCCTGACCACCCCAAATTGTACTGGCATACTCTAGCTGGGCTTCCTTGCAGCTCGTAGCCTCCAATGCAGGAGAACTCGCATGTAGCACCATAGTTATTTCCATCACCTGAACACTTGATGTAGCCATTATCTGGGGCATTTAATTTCACACAGCGCCTGACTTTAAGCAAGAGGCCAAAAAAAAAAAGATGACAAGGCATGAATGGCCCTGTTTGATGGGTAGCATGGCCAGTGGAATACCAATATAGAAGACATTTTTCTGTTTGTTTTCTATATTATTAGAGTCATATATTTAAACACCCCAAACAAACAAACAAAAAAACCCCCTCAACTCATATGTAAACTACAATGATGCGGATGTATAGGTGTATGCATGTGATTGTGATATCATGGTGACAAAAGGTCATGGAGCACAAAGAGAGCTGAAGCTGAAACCTACAGGTTTCATCTTTGTATATTCAACTCCAGATTTCAAGATCTGGACTTGTGAAAGGGCAGCTCTGCTTGACAGATGTGAGTCACAGCTGAAAAAACTCCTTCACATACTTGTTTCAGCAGCTCACAAGCTAAGTATCAGGGAGAAGCCAGCAGGAGAGAAGGGGTGTGAAGCTAGAGGCAGGACCGATCAATGAAGCTCTTCCCTGACATGCAGAGTGCCGGCCACCCACCCTGCTGCAGGCCTGGCCCCCAGGGTCTTGAGCAAGATGGCATTCTGTCTTTCAGCATCAACCTACAGTTTATATACACATACATATGCAGACAAATATAGAAATGAGGACATTTCTCAAACTGCCTACTAAGCCAGATGCAAATCAGTGACTGTAAAACATAGGGTAAAACAGCATTCTTACCTCTGACTTTAACAAGAAATTTGCAAGTGCCTTTGTTTTCAGCTCTGTCATACACAGTATATTGGATTTTGTGGTCGCCTTCCGGAAAATGTGACCCTGGTGGCAGGCCTTTCAAAATAACACTACAACAGGAGATAAAACAGGACAGACAGACATAAATTCACCAGTATTTTCCTACTGACAATGCTGTAAAAGCCTGAAGAGTGATGTTTGTGGCATGCTAAGATTGCCTGGCTGCACTGCGTGACTGAAGACTGAGCGTAAGCAAAGGAAGAAGCTGGGCAGCAGCAACCAGAGTATTTAAACTTGCTACCAACAGCCCACCCTGGAGTTGTACAAAAGTTGTACGCCCTGCTGAGACAAGGGAGGCAGAGCAGGCAGGGCCTGCTCGCTTCCTGTAAGACAATCCATAGTGTAGCCAAGCATCACGCCATGCCCAAAGGAACTCGAGCTTCCTTTTCCTTACATAAGGAAAAGCTGAGATTGATCCTCCCTCATTTTGTATCGTATCATGAACAATCCACTGTCAGAGCTGCAGCGTAACCCAGAGCTGGAGGAGCGTAAGAAAACTTCCAGCCTCTTACACTGGGGACGTACCCCATCTTGGCTGCTCTGCACTGCTCCTATAATTACACTAATGTACAAAAATGGAATAGAAAGCGAGATTTATTGTCACAGCAGGAGGGTGTGGTGATCCACAGCAGCGTTTTCACCTGGAACTTGTTGCTATCCTGCAAATGTGCCAGGAGAATTCAGACATGTTAAATGTATCCTCAGTACTGAAGCAGTGAGGTTGAGCAGTGTTCCACGTAATGGGAAAGCTTACAAATTCACAGGACTGCAGGACCCAGCGCATTTAAGGAAAGCACTGTACACAGTTTAGCAAGATTTTATAAAAGTAGATTTATGGAAAAGCTCCCACAGATTCAACAGCTAGCCTCTTCAGAGCTGGGAACAGTTACTCATATGACAAAGTCATAATGGCCTCAAGTTGCGCCAGGGGAGGTTTAGATTGGACATGAGGAAAAATTTCTTTACTGAAAGAGTGGTTAAACATTGGAACAGGCTGCCCGGGGAAGTGGTTGAGTCACCATCCCTGGAAGTATTTAAAAGACGAGTAGATGAGGCGCTTAGGGACATGGTTTAGTGGGTGGTGGTGTTGGGTTGACGGTTGGACTCGATGATCTTAGAGGTCTCTTCCAATCTTTATGATTCTATGATTCTAAGTCTACATGGGATATTCCCCATTTTTTTTGCCTACCAGACATTATTTCATCAAAAAGACTTTGGAATTTTGTTATTGTGACACTTTTCAAAGTCTTTATTTTATCAGGCTTAATTTTTTTTGATGCTGTTAATTGCCATAGAATAAACACAGTAGACCTTAACAGCAATACTGTTTTTAGTTGTGTAATGAATTCTTCTGGTATTATTTAAACTGTAACAATAAAAAGGCAATGTCACTGTGTCTTTCAACAGCTTTTTTGTATTCACATAAAACTGTAAACATCTTTAAGCTTAGAACTTTGAGATTTTAAGCTTAACCAGTCCACTAATATACAGTTAAAAGATGTAACTTGCTTAATGAAAAAAGCAGATTTTCTGTACTCTTTCCATTACAATAATCTAGATAGACTGCCATAAATCCTGCATGATAAAGATGGGAAAATCACGAGACAGTGGTACCATCACAAGTGCACCTTGCTCTTCTGGAAAATGTGACTGTGAAACCATAAAAATGGACAAGGAAATTTTGAAGAAAGTGTTAAGTTTAAATCCAATGTTTAAAGCTCCTTCAAATGAGAGGCATTACTTTACAAGTAACTGCAGAACGCTGTGACATCAGTAGTCAGCACTACTTCAGGAAGAAGCCTAAAGATGATTGCAGATACTGCTTTGTGACACAATTCGTCTCAGGTTTTTTTAAGACAGTCAAAATTGCCTCTGCTGCTACCTCCAATGCACTATTATCTTTTCATTGTTATGTATAAAAGGTAACTTGCTGTAAGAAAACTTGTATATGAGAAGAGACCCACAAAGAAGTTCTGGAAAATTTCACAGGTGCAGTCAAAATGCTATTGTCATTTATTCCATCAGCTCTAAAATAACCACAACAATCTGCTACCCCTCTACATGCCAGGTCCTGAACGATTCAAGTTGTCAATTTTTAATTAAACACGCAATTCTTTACAGGCCATTGACATGTGACAGCTATAAATAAGCATCTTGGATGAATTAAGGGGAAAGGGTACCTGGCCACCCTCATCAGCTGAATTACTAACCAAGGACCCCAGGAATAAAAAGGAGAAAATGCAAACCTACTCTGTCAGAATCCCGTCAGCAGTGTCCCGTCCCTCTGGGGTGTCCCAGAACACTCTGGCCGTCAACTTGTTGGGCTCCGCGGTTTTCTCCTTCACGCTTGGGCACTGGATCCTTGGAGGCTCAGTATCTGTTGAAATAAACGTCACAGAAATGGGCACGTGTGCATGTGTTACAGCTATGCACTTTCTTCACAGCTCTTGCCCTGTTGTCAGCGTAATTCGGGACCACCTTCAGCTGGCCTCCTCAACACTGGAGCCGTCCCAGCCAAGATAGGTAGAGCCTGTACTTCCCACCTTTTTGTAAGAAGAATAAGAGATGACAATGATCGAGCCCCCCACCCAATGTAAAAAACTAATTAAAAAGTAGTTATCATAACTTTCTTTATCTAGTCCCCAGTTAAAAAGCAATGTCTACAAATCGACTATATTTGGCTTTGAACTCTACGGAGGGATACCCAAGATTGTACCCGAGGAGCCTGACCCTTCTGTTTATCTGCTCTGCCTCTCTTTGTTCATCTGTGTGGTGAATATTGTGATTAAGAACACTTGTAAAACACACGGAACATAAATCTCTCTCCGTATGATAACTTTGCATGTTACTGTTAAACTCTTGGTTATTTTTCCTGCAGCAATGGCAAAAAGAGAAACAACAGAAGATTAACAAAATTGTCATTTTGCAGGGAATTGCTGCTGCATTTGATTTTTTTCAAGTAATTCTTATAATAATGCCTTACAGGTAATACAAAACAAAAAGTAGACCGGGTAAGTTTTGAAAGCTTGTTTAACTGCTACCAGAACGTTGTGACTATTATGCAGGAGTGAAGGAACAGTGGCGATGATAAAAGACCCTGATGGAGGACAAAGGCGATGCACAGCTACTCATCTTCAGCCGCTTCCATTGCCAATCCTCCCAGCATAGCAGAAATACATGGGCGAACCAAGTCCAAACACCATCACAATCATTAATTAAAAAAAAAAAATTAAAAAAAAAAAATCTGTATTTAATAGCTTAGTCTCAGGGGTTTTTACCATTGCTCGGGTTATACCCAAAATGAAGTCTAAATCCATAGAGTCGTATACCGGCTTTAAAAATGAACACAGAGACAGGATTGGTCTTTACCTGCAAACAGAAATCAATCCCTAAAGTGCTGCTTAAATTTAAAGGGTGGCAGGCCTTGTCTTTTCATTTGCAGGGCAGACACAAAAAGTACAGTCTGGATTTCTTTCAAAAAAATAGCAATGAGAAAAGGTTTAGGTCTTTATAAAGCATCAAATGTAGAAAATAATTTAATAGACCCTCATATTGTACAAGCAACACACAATGTTTTCTACCAGTTTAACTAGGGCAAGTGCAGCCCTGCTATAGCCCCTTCAAACTTTTAATGGTAATCCAAGAACCCGGGACTCGAAAACTGGCTTATCTGTATTCCTTCTCTAAGAGTTTTCCTCCAACCCCAAACACCGCAGCTTTGTGAGGCACTTCCATAGGACGAGCTCCTGTCTTAATTTTGCACAGGAGGGAGTGGGGGAGGCACAGGCAATAAGTGTCATACCAAAGTTATTCAGAAAACATCAGGAATATTGCAAACTGCCTGACACAAATGCTTATTTTTGTGGGTTTTTTGGTAAATAAACAATGAAAAAAATATATCTTCCTATAGTATTGGGAGGATAACTGTTGATTTCTTTGTAGATCCTACTAGAAGGTGAAGCTAACAAGAGTGCATTCCCACTGCAGGGAGTGGATCAATCACAAATGAACAGCAGAATCCTCTAAACAAGCTTTTCAAGCTTCCTGTACTTTACAAGAACACCCTTCGCTAAAGATATGTAAGGCACTTAGATCTTCGTTACGGCTTCTTTAACTTTTTCACTTTTTGAGTTCTTTCACTCCTCCTTCCCTCATCTGCTGCAGTACACAAGCGAGCAGGATTTTCAAGCATCCACGCTGGCTGTAGGAAGCACTTTGTCTCCTTTCCTCATGTTTCTTACTCACTCCCTTATTTTTAGAGTACCTTCCTGTTATGTGTGGAAACGTGCTCACATCACAGCCAGTGAGAGCTCTGCCCTCCTCTACAAAACTACGTTGCTCTCAATAACCCCCCAGCGTAGCTGAATTAGTCTCACCAAGGCTGCTTCTGGCTCTGGTTAATTTACTGTGGCGACAGCTCACCACTGTGCTACGGACAGCATACATTTATTCCAGCATTACGTTTATTTAAAGACAGAATGGCATTTAAGGACCCAGTGTTTTAAGCACTTAATTAATCAGAAAGCTCATTACGCTATTTAGCACAGAGAAGACTCGTTGGTATGAACCGGCTTGGACTTCCACATCGTAAAGACAAATACGGTTACTGTGGGAACCAACTCACCGAGCACCCAGGGGCCAGGCAGCCTTTTTAACTGGACTTAAAAATTCCTGGAAAGGATATTTTCTTTGGTCATTTCAGCTGCCTCTCAGCATTCAACAGGCACTAAATGAACCCCACCAGAACAACTCCGCTTTGAAACGGGCCAAGAGAAAGCAGCTGTCTACCAGAGGCTCTTTAACTGCAGTGGCCACTGGGATGCGTTAAAACAAAGAACGCTCAGGTCTTTTGCCTCGTGCCCTTGTACAAAGTTGCAGCCAATCTATAGCATATTAAGCACCTTGGCCACAGCTTGGCAGAAGGAAGACAGGTCTAAAAAAACCCAACCCATTTAAATGCAGAGAAGGTGACCAGAGAACATCCAGGCAAATGCTCAAGTGACAAAACGAAACACCGCCCTCCCCCCCCCCCCACACCCTATTTAAACCCGGCCCCCCCCCCCCCCCCAACCCTTTAATAAAATGTATGACGTGAGCAAGGTGCCCACCTGCAGGTTAGAAAACTAAACTGGTTCCAAAACAAACCCCAACAGAGGAACCCACAAGACTGCTGACTGCTGGGGAGATTTTATCAGAGGGAAAAATCATCCTGTAAGCACCAGATTGTCAGACTGTCTCGCTTAATAAGTATTCCTGGCCAGAGCTGGAGCCAGGACACGCTGCAAGGTGTCTGACCCCGTACGGCTGGTCTTACGCATTCACTACAGTGTCACTGCTGAAAGACTAATGACAAGCCAAGCGGATTTATTTAAGCTGTTTAGCAGGGTGATATATTAAATGGGTGAATCTCGCCTGCGAGGTTTACATCATGGGCAGGGAAACTGAGTTTTCATAAAAAATTTTCATAAAAAATTTGGTGACTGCTCAGTCACCACTTCTCTTACATTCTTGTAAGTTGTCGCTTTTCTTGGCTACTCAGCAGCAGCAACTGGTACTCTGGCCCCACGCTGGGAAGCGGCATTGCAGACATCGCATCAGGAGGTCAGCAGCAGAATACCAAATTTTAAAGCTGTCCTTTGAACTTTGTGGAGAAAAATGTGACTTTTTCAAAGAGGTTTTAAATTTTATTTTTAAAAAACATACTTCATATTAACAATATCAACAAACCTTAAAGAGCTTGTTAACTGCCTTTCTCATAGTTTGTTGAAGGCTTACGTTTATTTGCTTGTGAATTTGGGATGACAAGAGGAAAGAAACAGAGGGATGGTACTGAATGCCCACTGCTTGCTTATTCAAGAGTCTGTATGGGATAGGTAAACGGTCTGCTGCTACATAAACACGCTGTTATTACTGATTGCTGACAACATTAAATGATGGCTGGAAGTTAATTCAAAACATTAGTCTGTGTCAAAAGCATAAAGAGATGAAGAGACTGGAAATCATAAAAGGGGAGATGAAGAACATTGTTCTGCTCTCCCCACCCGCCTCCACAAGGCATTGCTCTGTATTTCAAAACATCCATTGTCAGGGCCTGTGTAATTAATGACTCAGAGCGCAGAGCTTGTTTCAGACATGGGTAGTTGGAAGCTGTTCGTTAACTACCTATCAATACAGTCTTCGGATGTGACAAAAGGATGACTTAGCATGGTGACAGCCATTTACTACAACCTCTGTTATACAATCAGCAGGAAAATGAAACCTTTATAGACGAAAAGAAGGTGACATTTTTCAATCTTCTAGAGGAAAATAGCTATTTCAATCTATGTTACAGTGCATTAAGGATATAATGGAAACATTATTCAAGCGAGTATTGGCATTTTTAGCTAACTGAAAAACAAAAGCAGCTGTAAGTTGATCTTTTTTAATCAAAGTTATTTCAGCAACATGAAAGATATTCTTCCTCTTATAGGAGGGGGACAGGGGACAGAGAGTCTGCTTTGTTAGCACAGAATACTCACTGTCTGTAAGGGCTTCTGTAAGTGACTCCTAAAACACACCTAATTTTCTTTAATTGGAAAAAAAAAATATCTTTTTTCCCCTTTTAGTGAGTATCTGTTTCAGCAATGATGTTAGCCCAATGCCTTTCCTACATGCATCTTCACTACTGCACTGTGAACCCCACAGTTTTGTGCAAAAATGCTAAGCAGTGCAACTGCAGTACAAAAGGGTAGAAGAAAGCCCCTTGTTTTCAAGAGGATTATAAATCCAGGTCTGCAGTAATTTTGTCATACTTGATGCTAACAGCTGTGGTGTCCCCAGGTCATTTCCCTAACTATTTGCAACGACATGAACTTTACCAGCCCATGCCTATGATCACACGTAACATCCCTACTGTGCACAAAGCAACTAATTGCTTATTTGTTAAAATAACAAATAGAGCAGCTTCTTTGCCTTTGTATTTCATCACTCCCCTCACCTTAATTTTACTCCTCAGCTGAAAGTGAGGAAAAATGTCTATTCAGCCAGTTCTCTCCTGGTATCCATTGGTAAGCTTTCGTAGGCTGCAGTTCACTGATGCCTTTTCTTTAATTACTGATAAGGGATAAGGGATGCGTATGCAATTGCAAACTGCAGTTAGGGTCATGTCTGGTCACAAAAAAATCTCTATCCTACCTATCAAAAGGTCAAAAGATAACTTATTAACAGGTAAGCTTTCGTAGGCTGCAGTTCACTGATGCCTTTTCTTTAATTACTGAATTACAATAAGGGATGCGTATGCAATTGCAAACTGCATTACACTGTTAGGGTCATGTCTGGTCACAAAAAAATCTCTATCCTACCTATCAAAAGGTCAAAAGATAACCTTATTAACAGTTTGCTAACTGCATAACTCCCTATTTCCATATAGGAATCGTGTGCACACAAGGTTTGAAGGGGTCTTCTTCATACTATGTGGTATTACCAGAACTTAAATAATAGTATTACTTTTACTGGGTTACTTGGAACTTGCAATCATACCCTATGCAACACCTATCCTGCATTTTTGGAATCAAAAAGAAGTATTAGTGCTAACTTAGCCTCTCTTTTTTTGCTTAAGACATACTTGCTTACTCTACTCTGCAAGACAGCATCCTCTGTAATAAGCACCCCATCGCTGCCAACAGATGAGGTTCTGAAAGTGCCAGGAAATACAGAAGACAACATTTTATCATTCCCAAACTTAAAAGGGTTTGTTTCTCTTCCTCCGCCCACACCACTGAGGAGGACAAGGCTCGTTTTTGTAAATAAAAACAAGAGACACCACAAACAGTCTCGACCTAAGCAGCAGGCTCATTTATACATTTGTACAACACCAAGTAACAGGAAACCTGAACAAAATTCTACGAACATCAGGCCACAGTGGAGAGACTCCAAAGCCATTTGCTAACCTAGACTGAGCCACAGGCATTCTGAGGAAAACCAAGTCATCATACACAAAAAAAACACTGTGCACAAATACTCTACCACCCACAAGCTTAAATTACTGGTAGCCAATTCAAATGCCCAAAAAAATACTTTCCTTTGCAGACAGCTGCTGAACCTTTTATCAGAGACTTCCCAGAAACAAGAGCAGCAGCTGAGGCCTCACTATCTGCTGAAATCTCATTAGTAGGAAAGAAAAGTTAAATCTCAATATTTGTTTATCTCTCTTTTGATTTATGTATATAAAAACAATTATTCCAGCCAAGGTTCCCGAGAAACTGCTGTGTAATGAAAATTGCTGGCATAACTAATGTAAACTAGGCTGAAATTTAGTCTAGCTCACTGCAACCATGCTGGTAACTATAATCCATTCATATTCCCTGGACATATTTGGAGACCATTCCTATTCCCTGGATATATTTGGAGACCACGATCCCAAGAAACAAAAGCAACAGGGGAGGTCAGACAAAGGGTTTAGTTTCAAACCTGTTTTATCATTACGTTGCAGAGAGCAGGACAGACTCCAGCACGGAGAACATGCTAGAAGAGCACCACAGTAATTACAGGCTACCAACGAGTCACCCAGGAGATCAGCGAAGGCTGTTATAAGCATTGTAAAGCACTGACCATTTACACCAGCCTCATCTTTATTAAAGTGATAATGCTTGGAGCTGATAGCGTGTGTGTAAGGAAGACGGTCACTTGTGGCTGAAAGTACTAAGTGACAGAGAGTGCACTGTATCCCTTCTTAGAAAACTGTCCTCTGCTTCCCCAAAAGGGACAGTTGCTTTCTTCCCCCAGGAATTAGATAAAAGAGCATTCTGGAATTCATTTGGAGGACTTGGGCACCAGCAGGTACCTCAAGATGTAGACTTTCCGGGGTGTAGACCAACCATCCTACTTACCAACGCAGGATGCTGGCCGGCCACTCCAAACTTTGTTGTCCATGCACGTTACTATACGGTCACCTTTCAGCTGGTATCCCGGTGAACAGTAGTACTCACACCTCGAGCCAAAGTAGGCACCATCTAAACACTTGAAGCCCCCGTTGGTCGGCATGGACAGGGTGGGGCAGCGCTTTTCTGGAACAGAAAACAAAGACTTCTGGAAACCTGTTATCCCCCTTTAGAGTAATGTGAATGTGGGGTATTACACAGAAATAAAGATGCAGCTAGCAAACGACAAGTGGGAGAAAGTCACGTTCCACATGAGGCTTTTCACACTGTTCTTATTAGCTGCGTTTCAAATGTAACTTTACATACACAGTGGCCTAATGCAGTATTTATATGAGAAAAAGATGACAAGTACCTATTCCTCTCTTCTCAGAAAACGTTTTACTGCAAGAGCCCATTTAGACACTCGATACAAATTGTGTCAGCTTACAAAATCCAAAATGGGAAATATTTTGAAGCAGCTTTATGGCTCTCTCATAAAACTATTCCCACAAATCAAAATTCCACACTCATAAAACATTCCCTATCTGCCAAGAGTATTGTTTTTACCACTTACGATACTTATCATGCCAGGTACCACTGTAAAATCCTCAGCAACAAGCCAATCTACATATCCAATTATATTGTCAATGTTTAAAATACAAGGAATAATCCGAAGATCGCTGCTTCAAATGCAAAGTAAGAGTTTATTGTCTGCTGAATCTGCGGCACGAGCCACACGTGCCGATTTCATAGCTACTTACGTTTGCACAGCACTTTCCCAGACCAGCGTTTGCTTGACTGACAAATTAGCTGCTGAGGGCCATGCAGTTCGTAGCCTTTTTGACAGCGGATATCACATCTTGTTCCCAATACATTCTTGTAATATTCCCCTTGAGGTGTCCTGCAGTTTGCATAACCATGTTTCACCTTAATGGGGGAGCACCACGGTGTTTCTAGCACAGAGAACAAAAAAACACACATAGTACTTTGCAAAAGGGAAAAGGTCAGACAGAAATACAAAACCACTTTCTTTATTCAAGGTCACAGAGGAGAAATGGAAAAGTCTTATTTAAAAAGCCACCAAAGTGGAGAAGTAACAGTGCCAACAAGGTGCACTAAGTTTTATACATCAGAAGGTCAGCCCTTCAAAGACTGGCAGCTCTTTTTTATTACAAGCACTAAAATTGTAGCCATTAGATTGGGGTGGGGTGGGGGTGGGGTGTGTGTGTGTGTGTCTGTCTGTCTGTCTGTCTTTTTTTTTGTCCATGGAATAAGCCTGCCACCATGTGGACAGTTTGATGACAACCGGACCTTTTTTCCCTCTTGTTTTTAAATTGATACATCTAACTTCTCTTTGGTAACAAAAGTTTGCATTAGGAACACCTTTGGTCTAGCTGTAGTTGTAATCTTTACAACATTTAGCTCTCTCACTGCCCATTTAAAATAATAAAAAAATCTTCCATAATAACTTGTGCAGTACAGGACATTGCCTTGGCTGAACTCTGTGATGGTTCAAGCTCTCCCACAGTTAGAAAGGATGTGACTTACATAAGTCATATTGCCAGTATGTCAAGCCTGTCTGTACACATCCTCCACATGTCAGAACATCCATTCAGGGTTTAAGTACGGCTCCAGTTTTGCAAAGTTACTTTCCAAGTTAGCACCAAGGATTAAGGCTGAACTGGAACTTGTGAAGTGTGCAGGAACAGCAGCTCCCTCGCTGTTCTCAGCAGTTCTGCGGTGCCACACTGAAACATTCAAATACTCTATTATCTCCCACAAAATAGCCTTCTACTAGCAAATGGGCACCATACCATTGCCATGATTAAATCTGAAGGCAAGTGTCCAATCCAACAGACTACGTGAAGAGCTTTCAAGAAAGATCTGACCTTATTCCTCTCTTTTTCGTAGTAATTTGTAGCTTCCAAGTGCAACATCCATTCAGGCACAATGCATGTATTTGACAGCACAAACCCCTGCACTTTGTACTGTCAAATCCTTCAGAGGGTGTCGATGTTCATTCACGAGCATATATAGCACATATTCAGAAAAGGGAACCCAAGTTGCAGAAATTTATATCCAGTTCTAAATCTTCTCAAAGGTCTGGACTTCATGTGTTGTACTCTTCACCTCAAAAGATAGGTGGAGGACTACCTTTCCCTAATATCATGGAAATGGAGCCTGAAGTACAAGAAGCACCTTCTAGTTGCTCCTGGATGCAGGACAGTGACATGGATGGATCTGCCAAGTCAGAGGAAAGCTGGAATTTGGCTGGGACTTCACGGCTAATGCTCCTACCGAACACATGGGAAAAAGGGAAACACGTATACCTAAAACTGAACCTTTAATAACTGCTCAGGGCTACACTTTAAAATACTCAGGATATGGGTGCCATCTTCTTGTGAGGATTTAAGACCATACTGTGATACTGATGGGTGCAGTATCAAATAGAGACTTCCCTTTCTCAGCCAAAGCTTCAAAATCTTTGTTTAGCTTTGACAACAGGGTTCACCAAGAAAGCCGTGCTTTTTCTGCAGCGGGCAGCTCCTCCGTAGGAGTTTCCTACACAAGGAGTGACTAAGCCTGCCCCTTCTCAGCTCCAAGATTTGAAAAGGACGTATCAAGAGGGAGGAAGGGATTGCAAGGCAAAAAGACAAAGATGGCAGGTCCTGAAATCCTGTGTGACAATGTGTGACATGCGGGAGGTACATGACAAAACTTTTGAAGTCTGCAAGAAAGATGGAAAAAAACCCCAACCAAACAAAAAACAGAGTTTTAGCCTTCATCCTTGCAAAGTCACAGGAGACATTTAAAAATAAATTCTAGACCATCTTTGGCAGATGTTCACTTCTAGCTCTTAATTCCAATAGTTATTATGTACATTTTTCTACACGATCAGCTCCACACATAAACAAACAAAAATCAATACAGCCTGTTATATTTCTCATACATGGGATATTTATATTCAGTGTACAATGTCTCTAGGACATATTTACACTTTCCCAATGGAAATTACATTTTGCACCTACATTTTGCTGTGCTGGTCCTGAATCAACACAAATAGCATCTGAGGACTAAAATCAGAGACTAATTGTCAAGCTTTTGACTCGGCCAAGAGCATGTTCCTCTAGACTAGCCTGTTTCTGAAGCAGTCGTATTGTACTGTGACATGCTTATTTTTGTATTTCACCAATACGTGTGAAAACCCTTTACAAAGATCTGTAAGTGGCATTATTCCCAGTGTCACCAAATACGCGGTAACTGAGGCACGGGAAACGAGCAGACCAGTCGAACAGCACACAGCAGGTTAGAGGCAGAGTGCAGTTCAGCTTTTTGGCTCAGCCACACAATCATCCCATCTCTGTTTTTTTTTCCACAAGTACTGAATGTCAAATACATCCTCCATTATTTACCCCATAATTATGAAAAAGTAGTTTGGCGGAGAGTGGTTTTTGTTTTTGGTTTTTTTTTTTTTTTAGAACTGTTTCCTGTCCTTCACCCTAATCTATATCCCATAGTTACCAAAAGACATTAAAAAAACCCCATCAACTTACTTGGGCCACTTTGTTGAGGGGCTGTATCACAGTGGCACACATTTTTCACGCTTGCTACGAAGCAAATTAAAACTGGGAGAGCAGGTGAAGAGCATGAGCTAACAGGAATAGAAGTCAATCAGCTACTGCTGAAGTAATGGGTGATGACAGCACCCATCTCTGCAGCCTCCTTAGCTGCCCACCCCACTGCCACGGGTGCAGTCTCAAGCATCACCTTCGACCACTCTCTGGGGGAAGCCACGCATGTTGGATTCACAGAGGCAGCCTCCGTCTCATTCACCTCCCGGAGAAATCCTCCTCCTGAGCTAACAACAGCTTTTCCATAATCTCCCCTTCAGTGGTCTCAACCCAAAGTATTTCCAGCTTTTCTGTCCCACTTCTTCTCCTCTCATGGCCTGAGACCCTAAACGTCAATTTTGGGTTTGGTTTTTTGTTGTTTTTTTAATTAAAAAAAAAAAGCAGCTTTTCCCACGTGCTGTAGGATCTCCTAAACTAAGGAGGAGGCCTCAGTTTTTCTGCAGAAGGGTTTAAACCTGAAGTTACTAGGAGAACACTGACTGAAGGGGCACAAGAGCGGGGGTGAAGACTCAGGTAGGCTGGGCTTCTGCCCCAGCCACCTAGGTAATCGTTCAGCAAATCAGTTCAAGATATTTATGCCCCAAGTTTTCCACATATATAAAGTGCAAATGCACATGGCTGATTTCCTTTGTAAAGGGTGTTAAGACGAATACACTTTGCAACGTGATCAGGAGGCTAATAAATAAAAAAAAAAAAAGGCAGCTGTTTCAGCTATTGCAAATTGCCTGAGTTTTTCTGCACGTTTTTGTGGCTTTACAAACACGCTTGCCTTGAGTAAACAGCTGCATATATATTTATAAAAAAAGTGGCTAACAGCTAACAAATGCAGTTTAATGCACAAACGGAATACTGAAAAAGAAAAGGCCCCTCCTGTAGTGTCACTGCAGCTATGGTGGTCTACAGAGAGAAACAAAGCAAGGCTCCTAGGGAGGGGTAATACATCTTTTACTGGACCAAATGATACTGTCAGAAAGAAAAACAAAAACAGACATGCTTTTGGATGCAGATAACTTGAAGAGCTTAGGAGGAACATCTGTTTGATCTAAAACATTATTATGCTTACTGTAGAACTGAATGTGATTAGAAGAAAGCGGGTAAGGCACGGTTTATAAGGGGGCAAATATGTGGGTTTAGACCAACTGATATCACTGGAAAAAAACCCAGCTAACTTGAAAAGCTTATGTGCCTGAAAGCACATCAAACGATACAACAAAGTTTTAGATCAAAGTTTGTTTATTTTTAAGTGAAGGCACATATTGGTTTTCAAAGGCTAAGCAGCTACATGGAGCATTTATGGAATATTAGGGCTGGATGGGGCCCCAAGAGGTCACACAAGCTGTTCCCTGCCTCAAGACAAGATCAGCCGTGCTCCTGAAGGCTTTGGGAATAAAAAAAGCTACAGGTTTCCCAGGCGCCTCCTTCCGGAGCTTCACCATGTACTGGGCTTGCTCCTGAAGGCTTTGGGAATAAAAAAAGCTACAGGTTTCCCAGGCGCCTCCTTCCGGAGCTTCACCATCTGTACGGGCTCTGTTCACCTGAAATTTGAGGTTTTAGGTACCAGGACCTATACAGTGTTTTTCTGTTTAACAGAAAGTTTGCACCATTCCTCAGTGATAAAACAGCCTGCATTATCACTTAGTAGTAAAACGTTTCGGAGACTCAATCCTGTGTTTGCAACCACTGGAAAACAGGCAGCAAGCAGAAATGGTTGAAGCCACAACGTTGCCTCTACAGCTAGGGCTAGCGTTTGATCATTACAGTATTTGAGAAAACATATTAGGAATGAGGATCATCAGAGCAGTGGCACTAAAGCTGTGATGAACACGGGAACTGCTGTATTTGGGAAGCTCTTCCTCATCAAATACGATCCGAGACAGCCATGCCAAGTGGCAGGAAGGAAAGCATTTTCTAGAGCATCATTTCCCCCAACCCCTCAGTCCTGTTTAAACACCAGCCTCAGCTGAGCATTTCCTTCACAAGCAGCATGCAAAGTGACCAGCTGTACTGTTGCTTGCTGGTACACCAGCCAACAGAGCTGAGGGTTCACCAGGGAGGAAGGGAAAAACTCTTTAAAAATGCTGTGGGCAAAGAAAGTCTCAGCGATGTCTCTCTGGAAAGCTGAGCAAGTTGAAAAACATCCAGATGAAGACAAAAGGGTTTGGTAGGAGGTCGATTCTGCGCCCCGCCCCCCCCAATAAACTGCAATGTTTTGTTTGCAGATGCCAAAGAGGACGAATTTGTGTGGTCGCTTGCACTGTTTAGTGAGTCCGTGTGCACAGAAAAAACAATGCTGCTTACGTATGTTAACATCAGTTAAGAAAATTCATTTAGTTACTTGTTACTGGGAAGTTTTATTTGCCAAGCAATGGGCTGTACCCAAAATGCTGGACTGCACATATAAGGAGAAGCTCTGAACATAGCTGCTCAGCCCATTTTTCCTTGCTTTGTCTTTCTCCACCCCCTTCCCCCCAATACCAATTTAAATAAGTATGCTAATGAAGAGTGAGCCTTTTCTAGTCCAACACTTTATACTCCTGGATTCACATTGTCTGATCTTCAACATTTGGCAGTAGCGCTTCCAAACTCAGGGCAGTTTTTAATATCTGTGTGAATGAGTCATTATGTTTCACTTACCCTGGTGACATTTTGGCTGACATGAGTATAATCCATTTTAGATCACCATATAAAAGGAATTTATACAGAATCTGCATTTTAACTACTTGCCTGCCCTGGCATGAATTGGCATTGATTTATCTTCATGATCTCTGGAATTCTTTTTCTATGTGTCTGCAGAGGGTTACATGTTAAAAGGCAAAGAAAAAAGAGTTTACCTAAATAAAGCTTTAGAGAAATATTTCTGCATGTGTTTGAAAGCAAAATTTTATACTGAAGTATTTTACTGGGAGGAACATAAGAGCGCAACATAGCCATAGCATCTTTGCTTTCCTCTTCGTTGTTCATAAATGTCTGAATTACTTTATGACTTACCTCTTAAAAGGCCCATTGATTCTTTGCAGAGAATCAATAACGTACAAGACACCAATGGCCAGTATTTTCAAGTAATCAAAATGATTACATTACAATTCTAGCATGTCCACAGATTAGTTTACTAAAAAGAAACACAGTTACCATTTAAAGCAACAAATTAAATGCTAAGTTTCTTTACTGTCTTGGCTTCTGAGGGGTTTTGGCAGAGGAGCGGGGTGCTGAGACAGAAGCAGACTTTTTAAGAAAATGGACGTAGTAAATGGAAGATTTACTGGTAGTGGCAAAAAAACTTCTCAATCTTGCTGAATGGCAAAATCTTCTAGAATAGGGAAGAAAACCTGAATTTGCTTTATAAACACTCCGGTCCATTCACTCATTCATCCAGCTACGTAATTTGTTTTTGGAATGCACACGTTCATTCGTTAAACACACTTCACTTGGCATTTCAGGTAGCAGGTTAACCTGAAATGCGAACAATTTTATGGGAAAAAAAGTGTCATGAAAATCAAGCTCTCTTGCATGTAATTCTATACATTACCATCAGTAGGCCCAGGTTTTGAGTCAGCTTATCATTGATGGTTTTGTTAGGATGCATGAAGAAGAAAGAGAAGCTCTTCCTAGATTTTCATGATTTAACAACCTGATCTTCCAAGAACAAAGGCAGCGCAAAAGTTACTTACTCAGGTGCATAAAAGGGTGGTGATCAGTACTCGGTCTAATTTCCATTGTTAAAAAAAGTAGAAATTAAATCTTGACCTAAGAATCCATGAGAAAAACCATGGAGCTGGATCACCAAGATTTTCTAATCCATGAAAAGAAAAAGAACGAAGCTTTCTCTCAGCAATCAGCTGATCCTCTTTAGCACATAAGCAAAGCATTCACCTTTATATCTATTGCGTGCATACACATCTTCGTCATCTTCAAGGGGTGAATATCCCGATCCTATAATACAAAATAGAGAAAAAAAACTGCAGCAAGAAAGGAAATATAAATTAAGAATAAAAGAAAGCTTTGCAAAAAGACATGCAAGATTAGGATGCAATAATCTACGCAATGCCATCAGCATGGGCTTCTCTGAAGCGCAGATTCATAGCAGACCCAGTTTATAGTGAATTTGGAAGGGGCAAATTGATTTGATAATCAAGTGAAATAGTAAATCTCTCTCACTGCTCCTTGAGCGATGTTGTGCAATGCCATGTTGCACATGTCAAGTCACAGCTCCTCTGTTATGGAAAGCCCACCTACCATGAAGTTGATCTATTGAGCAGAGAGAACAGAGGAGGTACAGGTGAAGGGGCACATCAAAGGTTTCACTATAAAGTGGTTCCATAGTGTCAGCGGCTGTTAACAGCCATCAGGCCAAACAGCAGAAGTAAAATGTGCATAACTCAAGAACAACCCTCTTATACAACCTGTGTGATCTTCATACCAAGAACAAAACATTGAGGTACATTACCTGCAAACACAAGTTACACTCAAATCAAAACCACAGTTTGGTATCAAGCAGTCTTCTGGGGTTGTTCAAAATAGATAGTATGGTTCTGTACTTTTAAAAACCTGTGCAACAGTTAAAAGCTTTAAAAAAGTAGAAACTGCTTTATAAAAACCAGAAGCCATTTGGAGCACCACCATTCAAGTAATTCATCAATAAAACATGGCAGTCAGCAAGAAAGCCTTCAAAATATCCTTAAGTGACATTTATTTAAAATCAGAAGCTTCAGAGCATGAAGTCTAGTCTAAATTCTAGATAAGTCTTCTCCAAGAAGAAGGGCTCATACAAATTCCCCCTCTGAGAAATCTTTCTAAAAACCTTGCATGCAATAGGCAGGTACTAAGGAGGCTCAGCACTACGCTGCGGGAGCTTCTCGCACATGGTATCTCAAATTACAGCTATGGGGATATTTCATCACCATTTGTTGAGGTCTGAGACCATGGTCTGTACAAGCTGCTGCTTAAAATTAGGCTAAATTAAATAATTCAGGCACCTCAATAAGCTACTAATTTCATGTGCAAAGCACACAAATTTTCTGCAGAAATTAAACCCAAGAGACGTTAATGGCTAGGATGATTTAGCATAAGGATAAAAGAGCTACCAAAACAACATTTGTCGCCCCAAAATTCCTGTCAGCATCTGTCAACAGATTCCACTTCTTATAAAAAACAAAATAAACTGCCCAGAAACCAGTGAAACTTTGCTTCTTACTCTACCAGCCTCAGGAAAACTCAGGAGAGAAACCCAGTATCTGCAGCCGCTCCACAGGAGTAGCTTTAGTGCATAGGGTCCATCTACAGAAGGGCAGTGCCCCCCACAGCATCAGCCGCAGCACTGCTCGCAAGGGTTCGGACCGCCTGAAGAAGAGACTCTTTGCATCTCCTGTGCCCCTTCCCGCCGCGTTACTTGTGCACCCAGGACCCGTGACCAGCCCGCAGCACCTTCTGAGAACCGCAGGGAAGTGGGAGCTGCGTGCGCTCCGCGTCAGACCAAAATCTTGCACCAATACTGCAGCTATGCAAACCATTTAGGGTCCTGCATGTGAAAAATCAAGAGAGTTGTGTTCACATGTACCATAAAAGTAGCAAAAACTCACAATTCGCCTTGGGCCTGATTCAAAGCTTGCTGTTATCACTGGGACTCCTTCCACCAATTTTCAGAAGGCTTCGAGCTGGGACCTTAGGAAGTGAACTTCCAAACAGCTTCTCCCTGAAATCGAGGGCTTTATATAGCGCAGGCTTCCTGTCACTTGGGAGCCATTTCTCTGCGTTTTCAAAATTTTGTTGTGGTGGTTGAATTTTTGATGCCTAAACACTGACATCTGAAAAACTTCTCAACATAAAAACGTTAAACTTTGTTGCACTTTAAGTCTGACTGTATAACATAAAGAGCAAGCTGTGATCCCTGAGGGCTTCGTGGAGACCTTGATATGTAAATGAACACCTCTCTAAGCATAAATTATTCTGTCAGAAATTGGGATGCTCTCACCTAATTACTCAGTTCAAGGGTTATGAAACTGTTATGTCAGTTTTTCATTCTTAGTTGTCCAAGTTTTACTGTGCGGTGACTTTAGCATTTAAATATCAGTAAACATTAGAGCTATGTGAACTCTTACATATTTAGCTTTCCTTAGATGAGAAATAATTAAATGCTTTTGAAAGTCTTCTAACAAAAATTGGCCTTAAACAGTTATTCACTGCTCTTGCCCTGAAACGAGGCTCAGTTCATGGAGTTTGACATCTCCCATTTCCAGCTCATTTTCTAGCTCGAAATAGAAGCAAGTCGGGTTTGTTTCTTAACAAGCAATGTTTCGTCACTGTTAAGAACCACAACAGTCCTGGCGTGAGGAACCACGGGAGAGGTCATCTTCACCCTACCCTGGGAGGGTCTCGCTCCCACTTTTCCGCAGCCTCTTCTCACAGAGAGCCCAACGGCCGACGCCGGGCCTCAGCGGGGCTGGCAGAGCCTGCGCAAACTGGGGGCACCAAGGGCAGTTGGGCATTGCCCACCAGCCCGGGGCCACGCCATGGAGAACCGACCTAATCTAAAGGGCTGTTCCTGAAGAGCTGGGCTGGCTCTGGGTGGACCTATCTACACTGCTACACTATTGCCCCAGGGCATTGCAGCACCGCCTCACACACGGGTGCTGGATTTTCTCCGATGTCCACATACCCTTCTACGCATGTGCCTGGACCTGGTACTCTCCCGTACCTCTCTCCATACTCACCCACCCACATTGCGCTGACAGACCTGTCCTTACCGTGGCAGGCGCGGACAGCCATGTTATGCAGCGGCCTGCCAGCAAAGTCGTCCCGCTTCAGCAGATGGCTTCTGTCCCGGCAGCCATGAGGCCTGACCTGGCACCTCATTCCCCCACTGGTGCCACCCCATGAGTGATCCTGAACAAATCACCATTTCATCTTCATTTTCTCAGCCACAAAAGGTTTTTCTGCTTCACATAAGTTCAAAATTAACTACCAAGACACGTAAAGACAAAGCACTGTTCTGCATTCAAAGTGCTAAAATTATCACAGTACAAAAACTGGGTATTTGAGGAAGAACGACATGAACAATAAGCTGCTTTACAGATGTCCCACATCATCGTTCATGTTACAGCAGGTTCCTGCAAAAACTGGCTGTGGATTTTGTTCTGGCAGACGACAAGCAAATCCCACGAAATAACACTTTCATTTTAAGATGGATCTATTATGAGATTAATCTATGGACTTAGACAATTCTATTTATGTTAGGAAAAAAGATTTCTTCATTCACAAAATCATCACTACATTTTTATAACCGGGGATGCATAGGAAAGCTTCCTCTTTGCAAACATTTTATTAGGGCATAGACTTTTAATGAAACTACATGCAACCTAGTAGAAAAGATGTAGCAGTGTCTGTCACCAAGAACTCAATAGTCTGTGCCGAATAAATAAATCCAGCGATGTGACTGCCAGACAGGGCAGGAGAAGCTATGACAGTAAGCCGGTAAGCCTTCTGACGAAGTAAAAATGCTCATACAAGAGGAATTCATTATTAAGAGAACACATTTACTCTTAGTGTTCAAACTGGCAAGCTAATGGGACACTCAGACACACAACAGTTACCCATTTGCGGAAAACCTAAATCAGACCATTTCAGGATCAGTTTTGCCTGTGTTTTGTGGTTGCCAAATCCACTCCAAGTGTCCTGATGGCAGCCTTCAAGGCTCTGCTTCACCAATTCTTGTTCAGCAAAACACTTCAGTATCTCCTGAAGTGGTCCCATTAGCCTCTAGGAGACCACTGGTTTAACCCTAAACCCACTCAAAATTGATTACAGATGTTTACATTCAACATCAGGCATCTGCTGAAGTACTCCACTGCTTTAGTACCACAATCTACACCCAGTGAAGGCAGCTATTCTTGATTTCTCCTGACGGCTCCATTTCCACACTTACAGCCCAGCATTTGCTCTCCTGGCCGGGGGCCTTGGTCTGCTGAAAAAGAAAGGGAGGGAAGCAGAGCATATAGCTGCATTCATGAATTAGCACAGATATACAATGACACATTCACATACGCACACAATACAAGATACATAAATACACACAGCCAAACATGCACTGAGCAGGATACTTCCTATATTTCTAGGATCTGATCGTCCTCCCCTTTGCCTGTTTGTTAATAAGTCTGCAAAAGCTTTGAGAGGAGAGTACTTCGATTGCTACACAAGAGCGACAATCAATTTGTTGGTGTTTGCTGAGCCAGAGAAGGAAGACAAATGCTATCAGATTGCAGAGGAAGTTTTAAGAGGACTTCTTGCTGTCCCTCAGTTTTGGTCAAAACCTGACTTTCTTAAGTACATTACTCCTTTGTGCACCACGGATCCCCGAGCAGATAGAAAGACACTATTCCAGACAAGATCCCAAACTTCACCATGCTTGTCAGGCGCACTAATTCAGCCCATGGCAGACAAAACCTCTCTAATGGGTAGGTAAGCTCCACAATAAAACATTTCAGATACTACATGGTATTAATCTCTAATTGGAAAACAATCTTTCCATTCTGCCTTACGGTCTCAAAGGTCTCCAGAATTGGAAGAGCTATCAATAATTGCTTAGCCATCTTGATCCTACAAACAACAAAAAACTTTGCACCTTCTCAAATCTGAAACCAGGCATTTTCTCACTGGACCATTTAATTCTGACAAGCAGCAGCAAGGCAAGGTTTAAAATAAAAATGCACAAAAGAAAAATCAATACCAGTAGAAGACTTAAAGGTTTCTTTAAAAAAAAAAGTTAAAAGGAAAAACAAAGCACCAGTAAGTGAGAAACACAGGTTGTAGCGAGGTGGGTGTCGGTCTCTTCTCCCAAGTAACAAGCGATAGGACGAGAGGAAATGGCCTCAAGTTGCACCAGGGGAGGTTTAGGTTGGACACGAGGAAAAATTTCTTTACTGAAAGAGTGGTTAAACATTGGAACAGGCTGCCCGGGGAAGTGGTTGAGTCACCAACCCTGGAAGTATTTAAAAGATGTGTAGATGAGGCGCTTAGGGACATGGTTTAGTGAGCACGGCGGTGTTTGGTTGACGGTTGGAGGTCTTCTCCAACCTTAATGATTCTATGATTCTATGATAACTGCATATAAACCTTCGCAGAGTTATTCGGTGTAAGATCTTCACCAGGGTTGCTGGGATTACCCGCATGGGCAAAGGGAATGAGGACTCTGGTGCTCCACTGTTTGATGCCACTAGTTATGTGAGTGACTGCACATGGGCAAATTTAGGGTGACGCACACAGGACTCCTCTCCCCATTGCAAAGGTTCACCCATGCAGGTCTGCTGGCAGCATCAGGGCACAAGAACATAATGCCGAGGCAGGCACTGCATACGCAGGTGCATGAACAACATTTAACATGCTATTGTGTTACAAATCCTTTATAATTGAGAAAAAGAAGGAATGTGGGCTGTAAGAGGCAGAATAGCTATGCAAACTTGTTTTTCCCATGACTGACATAGGAATGTCTTAACTCTTTTTGAGTTGGATCAACTGAAAATAAGCTATAGACAACAACAGTATAGTTCATGAAACCAACGGGAAACCTTTTACAGTCAGGCACTTAAATACAAGAACCTACAGCACTTAGCCTGCAATAAGGGCTTTTTTCTGAACAGCAGTGCTCTCCTCCCTAGTTTAGCACCAGGCAGACTGAAGAGTTTCATATCTACTGTGCTTACAGTCCTGCAGAATACATTAATAAAAGCTCAGAGTTTTCAGGAGATACTATTTTGTCAATTTACACCACTGAGTTTCTTAAGCCTTTTTTATTTTCTCATGCTCTTTTGCTCAGGGTTTATAAGGATTACCTACAGTTGAGGTACATACTGTAAAGATCAGCAGCAAAAGTCAACGTTCCAGTTTACGCTCTACTGAAGCTTGAAGTCTTAAATATAGCACCAATTTACTTAAATATGTATTTCAGAAAAGATCACTGCATTTCCAATTTTTCTGAACATTGCTGGGAAATGCAGAACAGAAAAAAACAACCCTAAAAATACAGTGATACTTTCCAATTTCAGCTTCATGGCAAATTTCATAAAATAACCAAAAGGAAAACAAAGTGGGAAAAAACCCAAACAAACCAAAATACAGTTGTAATGACACTCTGTGTTGCACACAGGGAAACAACGTGAGTTAAATGAGCTTAGATGGCATCTTCTCCGGTCTGGAGGCACTGGCTACTCTTGATACTGGGAGGAAAGGAAAGGCTCATTCCACACATGATATATCCTTCAAAACAGAGGAGAGCGCTTGGGAATTCCTTCCATATTCAAACAGCTGACCAGTTTAAGTATGTGTAAGAAGAGGATGACCAGTTTCCACCAATAAGTCTGTAACATCTGGATTTAGTTCCTCCAATGTTTTGCCTCAGAGTTCTACATTCCACAGTACCTGAAGCCATATCAAATGAATGAATTAAAAAAACCTTAGCTTTACGTGCAGCAGACTGTAAAGCTTCTTGCAGTACGGCAGGGCTAGGTCACACTAAGACCTCAGAAGTCTGGAAGATGTAACATGAGGAAGCAGAAAAGGCACCAAAACTGGTCATAACCTTCACATTAGAGGGCTTTATTCTGTGTGTAAAAATACTTGCACTCATTTTATGATGGCAGTAAGAATGGAAAGCCAGGTTTTTCATCTCATTCTTTACCAGTTGAACATTACGCCCCTGTTCTGCAAAGCTCATGCTTAAATGCCATTGGCTTCAGTGGGATTTCAGTATATGTTTAAAAGCTGCCTGCACACTCAGGTGTTTTGTTGCATCTGGTCTGTAAGGCATAAAAAAAAAAAAAATTATTTTGTTACAGAAATCAAAGCAGAACAAATAGCAGAGGAAGAGTCAGCAAAATCAATTAATAAATAGCCAGAGATACTGATTTGCCTTGAACCTTCCTACAGGTGGGCTGAGAGAGAAATGCAACTGTATTAATGAACATGTTTAAATGTAGAGAATCTAATAGCAACTGCTCATATTAAGCAGTTTTCAACATGCACAGTAACTCAAAAGATATCATCTGCCCTCCTCTCTCCTCAAAGGATGTTCCCACTGACCACACTACTTTTCAGTCTCCTGCTTGACTCAATCAGTAGTCCCAACCGTCTTCGCAATGCAGGGGAAAGCAAGTTAAAGCACAGAAACCCGACAATCTTGTATTCAGCAAGAGTTGTGCTGAACTGTGAAGTAGAGGATATAAAGACAGTCATGGCACATTCCCAAATCCAAACGCAGCTCACTCATCCAGACCAAGTTAATAATCCTATGTGCAGTTTAGTAGCCCAGATGATTAACTTCCAGAGATGTCTAGAAATTTCCCTGCCTGTTTTTATGGAAATACACATGTGGATAAAACAGGTTTGAGCTTCCATGCACACCCGCAACCCCCACACCACTGTTGTGCTTCTATTCCTTGCAGGTGTAAGGTCTTTCAGGCACAGAAAGTAATCCCATAGCAAGAAGATCCCCTCAGGACTATACACAGATTAATTCACTGTGTCCCAGTATTGATTAAGATGCAAACACCATGTTTTAAAGCACAGGTTTTAACTTGCTTGAAGACAGATGCCTCATACAAGATTCCATCAACGTACAGTTCTTTCAAAGTCGTCATCATCAAAGCACAACTGAAATGCAGAACAGAAAGCTTCAGAATTAGCAAGTTCAAAAGAGGTCAGAGGTGTCTTGAAGTTTGCATGCCAGCAGTAGCTTATGCTTTGTGGAATAAAACCACCCAACTACACAGAAATCATGAATCTGATTAGGAAAATGCAGGCACGGGTTCTTTTCCCAAAAGATAATCTCTTCCCTCCTCCCTTGCCATCTGTGACCCAAATGC